AGTGTTTCTGTGGTCATCAGTGTGATGCCTTTTATAATACTAGGCAGCTAAATGACCTCCAAGTTTGCGAAAAAATTCTTCTCCATCATTTACGTCCTGCTGGAGACTGATTTGCTTCGATAAGGCAACCATAAATCTCCCATCAAACTGCGCATGACACATTATTTTTTGCAATCAGAGAGGAGATTTTATATGTTTATGATGCAAGATTCTCTCGTCACGAGTTCCTTAAGAGCTGACGTCTAGCATTATGTAGTAATATTGGTAAAGAAGGACAAGTAATATGATGCCTGGAAGAGAGGTGAAAGAAGATGAACGTCTTCTAAGAGGTTAACTAAATGGCTTTCCATGCAGACCCAAAGACTAAAAAGAAACGCTTCAATCTGAAAATGACTGGGAAGAACTAAATACATATGATTTTGTTAGAAACTTTAGACAAATTCAAAAGGGTAAAAATCAAAGTTGTAACACCCTACACCTTGAACAAGTATCTCTTTGGTCCTAGAGCTAGTTCGGGGAACAAAGATATTGTAAATACATAAAGCTCCTTCCTACTTTATACAGATCGATCATACTATTAAGCAAGCAACAAACTTGAAACATGTGAAGGCAGTTAACTGTTTTTTCTTCTCTTGCCTGAACTATTCAAGAAGAATGAGAAAGAAATTGCCTACTTCATTTGAGAAAGGAAGTAGATTTCTAACCTTTCCAGTGGACTGTCCATATCCAGAGTAATCATACCTAAAGAAGCACACATGAGCAAGTAAGTGAAGTCAAGGAAACCAAGGAAAATAGCAATCCTACTGTCGAATATAACAAATTTCAAAACCAAAAAGTGAGAAGAGAAAAGGAAGGGGGGTGGGTTAAAGCAAAAAATCATGGGAAATAAATAGTTTGAGTGTTAGTATGATATTGTGTGTGCATCAAAATAAAGAAAAAATATAGCACTATCATTTGCTGCTATACAAATCTCCTTCCCATTCCTTCAAAAGCTCTTCTACACCTATTCCTTCATGTGGTCTTGTGGAGTCCCCTAGAAATATCCAGATTATGTCTTGCTTGAAAAGGCAGAAACATAGTTCATGCAGACTAAATGTTTCCAATCATAAGTAGCTTCCGAGAAAGTAGGTGCACTACTTCAGTTTCATTTTAAGTAAGGCAGCTCACTTGCAAAGGTTAAAACTAAAATCTTTCAAACTGAAATAGGACACTGATTGGCTCATATTTTAAGAAAATAAAAGTTAGGATTCAAAAGTTACATACCATGTCATAGGATTTCAATTTTAACATATCCGAAACTAATAAAAGAATTACATTAAGGTAATATTAGACTCTTAGAAACGAAACTATAACACACAGGCTGGGATACAAAAGCAGAACACTATTCAGCAACATTCTGCTTTTATAATTGACACCAATGCATGACTATTCCACAAGATATAAATGCATCCAAACGCAACCGCAAATAGGTCGAAAGATATAAAATCCTTGAGTCTTTAAAGATCTCATTGAATTAGAGTAGAAACACAACAATCTGGTAGCTTGAATCGAAACATGTGATCTCTTTCCAGGGCAAGAATCAACATATTCGCTTACTAGATCCACTTGACCATTAAAGACAGTCATCTACTTCGTAATGAAACTAACATGTATACCATCAATGTTAGAAACTAACCACGGACTGAAAATTATAAGTTAATGTGAATATCGCCTCACATTAGAGAAAAAGAGGGGAAAGCTTACTCTAATTATCCAAAGCGATTCTTTCTTGATTGAATACCAACTTTCTCCTGAATCCTATTGTACGTCCTTCTATAAGAGAACTAACAAAAATTCTGATAACTGACTTCAGTATAAGTCTCTATTAGCTCTAGATCAAATACATTTACTTGCTGAAAACGAGGGCATGCATCCAATTTCTCCAATTCCTATTCACTAAAATTATCATTCATCGGACAAGCTGTATCTAGGTTGGGGGAAAATCAACTAAACGGAAAAGAGAAAAGGAAACTCATTCTTTTCCTATCTTCCAACCAAAAAGTGTTAACTAGAAGTGCTCCTACAACTTGCGGAAGGTATGCCTTCCCCTTTAATTTCTGCAAACTGTTTCCACACCTCGAAACCCACAGTGGTGGATGCAGTGTATTAGCAACAGGCAACCGAACCTAGTAGTTTCCGAAACTGAACAAGTGAAAAATTAGTAAACTTTCAACAAATATTAAACTTTGAACCTATTATTTACAACATACAGTGAATTACATTACATTAAGGTTAAACCCATCAAGTTTAAATCACTTATCCGCCCCTGTGAACCCGTAAACACAAGGAAAAACTCTACTTGTTCACCAAGGTCTCACTGGAAAAGGAAAAGAGTAAAGAACTTTTACCTCGCAGTAAGAACTAAACGCAACCGGTGTTTACACCAAAACAACGTACTTTAGCATGGTTAAGTAATCAATGAGGTGAAAATGTACACTGATTAACCATAATTAAGTGATAAAAAGTATGGAGGTTTGGATAAACTTCACAGTTAAGGATCCAATAACACAGAAGAATAAAAATAAGCTGAAAAATTGAGTAATTATAATAAAATATTCTGCAGGATAATAATGGGAGTTTTACTTTTACCCCATGAGATTGACCCGAAGACGGAGGCCCAATTCAACAAATAGTTCGAACATTTGGCCCAAATCAGCAGCATTGCCATGCGAGTAAAGCATAGTAGTGGCGGGTGCCTTTGGGTGCTTCACGTATAACGCGACGACTTCGTTTCCACGGCGCGTGCGCAGCTTCAAAACGTCCACGTTTTCCCTCCTTGGTACCTCAGGTATGCATAGCTTGCCGCCGCATGATTCGTCGGCGACAACCGTGTACGATGGTGGATTCGGTGGGAAAAAGGCAAATTTCGCGGCGATGAATGACGTCACACCGCCCATACTACACAGGGCCTGAATAATAGCATAGGAAAACTGAAAAAAAAAAAGGGGAGGTGGAAATTTATGAGGGTGGGTGTGGTTGTGGGGAAGGGCGGCGCGTGGATGGGGAAGGGGGAGCTGCGCGTAGGAAGTTTGGTTGAAGAAGGGTAGTTTTAGTTAGAAGGAATAAGGAGAGATGTCGAACGTTGGGAGTTTCAGATTTCTGTTATTTAGTGCGAGTTTGTGAGTGATAACTGACGTGTCGTCGACTCACCCCTCCCTAACAGCGACATATATAAAACTTTAATATATAAGGATTTAATTAAGATTTAAGTTATACACTATACATAAACAGTGCAAATATTCCTTTACATTAACACATGTAAATTTTAATTTGTGATATTACGTTAGTTATTATTTTTATTAGATTATAAATTAACACTTATTGAGGCTTTTACGTATAATTACTTTATAAATAATTTAATTGTATAAATATTTTTTTATTATTCATGTATAGAATCTAAACCCTTTAAATTATATACTCCCTTTGTTCCAATTTATATGTTATACTTTTTTAATTCTGTCCCAAAAAGAATTTTATATCTATTAGAAGTTATTTAACTTTAGACTTTCTATTTTATCTTTAATGAGATGATTTACAACCACGCAAATTTACGTGGCTTGTTTTAGATCACAAGTTTCAAAGTTTTCATTTCTCCCTTAAACTCTATGCTTAGTCAAATATTACCATATAAATTGAAACGGATAAAGAATTGTCGGTATAATTTTTATAGAGAAAATGACAAAATTATTCCATTATGTTTTGGGTTGGTGCAAAATACTCCTTTGGATATCCACCAAAATAATTTAGTCTCATTATGTTTACCAAAATTGAGCACTTTCGCTCTGGTTACATTTATAACGTATTGCGTTAGTTAATTTTGATAAATTGACTCCTGAGATGCATATTAACCGTTTAAAATAAAATAATACATCCAAACAAACTTATTCTTATTTTCCTAATTTGTACCTTAGAAGAACC